ATACATCGTGTAGCATAGCTCTCAACGAATGTAGTCCTGTAAATAAATGAATAAAGAAATTGTGTAATAAAATGCCTCTGGCGGGACTCGAACCTACGACCTCTCGCTGTCCAAGCATTATGGTGGTCGCCTTGACAGCTATTTGCAATGCGATACTGGCGAAAATGTTCCCTGGAGAATATAATAGCTATATAAAATAAAAATTTTTAAATAAATATATAAATAAACATGCAAAAAGTTTCTTTTATTTTATCAAATGAATGGTATAGGGCATGTGATTTAAATTATATCTGCATAATTTGAGAGATATTCTTTTTTTAAAGTTTTTCTAAATAAAAGTAATTTATTGCAACTATTGACTTCATCTGTAATTTCATTCCATAATTTAGGACCATAGAATTTAACAAAAAATTGAGTCTTTGTAAGTCTTGCAAAAAGAATGTCTAGTCTTTTTGTTTTTATGAAATTATATGCATTAATTGTATTACCTGTGCAAAAGATATTTGAAATCGAAATTGGTAATGAGTGATTCTCATATTAGTACCATAAGGGAGAAGAGCTGGATTTTATAAAGAACAAAAATATTTAAAGCATTCAATTTCTAAAATAAGGATTCGCTATGGGACATAGCAGGGGATACACAAATAATTCGTACAACACGTTTCTGTAATTTATATAATTTCATAAGATTTGAAGAATAATCTGCTGCCCAAATAATATTACAATATTGTAAGTGTGGAAGAATGAAAGAGTTATATAAATTAAGATGTATGAATTGAGGAAAGTACTTTTGTACTGTACCTTATTTATAATCCCAATATATTTTGAAATTTTGCTAGAAATACATTTTTGATGAATAGACCAGGTTAAATTTTCATGAATTACAACACCAAGAAAAAGGGTTTCAGTTTTCCATTCTAAAATGGTATTATTAAGAGATTATGCTGGGATGTAGTTATAGTGGGCGGAGGTAGGCGGAGCCGCCCAGCCTTGAAGTTTTCCACCCAGTCTAAAGCTAATTTCATGGCCTTTCACCCACCCTTATTAACCCACTTTTCCATCCTTAAAATCTACTTGTATTATCTAGAGTTTACCAATGTTATCATGCACCCACCCTCAAAATATCTATCCCCACCCTTGGTTTTCATTAGCTACAACCCTGATTATGGTAATGCCTTTCAGTTTGGAATTTTTACGATGTGTATGAAACAGTATGTAATATGATTTAGTAGCGTTTATTAAAAGTTTGTTAGCAATGAACCAGGAATGTTCTATATAGTTCATCAATATTTTCATTAGAATAGTATAATATGGTATCATCGGCAAAGGAAACAACATGTAGAGTATCACGAACACATGTCAGGTTATTTACGATTAAGTTAAGAATAACAGCGGTCCAAGCACAGATTCCTATAGCTCACCACATGTCGATGATTTACAAGCACCGATCTGTACAAATTGTTTACGATTCTCAAGATAACTTTTGAACCATTCATATGGAACGGCCCTAAAACCGTAGTGAATTAATTTTGAAAGTAAGATGTCGTGGCTTACTACATCGAATGCCTTTAGTTAAATCAATAAATGTACATAAAAGTTCTTTCTTTTCAAATGAATTATATGGAGTTCAAGAAGGGCATGGCACATTGAATGTTCTTTTCTAAATCCATGCTGTTGATTATTTAGAAGATTATTTTTAATTAAGTAATTGTATAATCTGTTATGCATCAATTTTTCAAGAATCTTAGAAAATAGTGGAAGGACTGATATAGGTATATAACACCTTTTTTATGAATAGGGACTACTTTTGCAATTAAATTAACCGAATTAACTTGGGGCCGAGTTGACTTGGGGCCGAGTTGACTCGAATTCTGTACTGCGCCTCCTAGACTTTGTAATGAAATAGAAATGGTATTTGATCGACATGGGTATAACACAAGAAATGCAGATTCACTTAACATTTTAACTCCAAAAGTAAATTTAAATATAACGAAGACTTTATTTAGATATTCTGGTGCAAATGTATGGAATACATTGCCCCAGATATTAAAAGAATCGACCAGTTATTTTAATTTCAAAGTAAACTATAAGAATATAATTTATAATACAATCAAACTAAGCTACCACATTCAACATATTCTTAATTTTACAACTTTTATCCTTGTGTATAATGGTATGAATAAACTGTTTATATTTCTTAAAACAATTTTACCAATCTTTTCACTACTGAATATTAATATTTTGTATGTAGTTAAGATGTGTATCATTAATTGTATTACCTTTTTGTGATCTTTGTCCATGTATTTTAACCTTATTCAATGTATTATATCTTGTAGATTAAGCTTTTTATCATTTTTGAAATTAAGTATTCTCAATTGTATTAAGTTAAACAGGACCAATTTAAAAACAGACTGTTACATCTTGTATCCTGTACTAAATATGTTTTAAATAAAATGAAATAAAAAAATAAAATATAAATAAAAGTGGTAAACTATGGCATTTAATTAAATTAATTGTATTTGGCACAAATGATTTTCTGTGTCGATCATTAGGAGAATGATTATGGCATAGCCTTCTAAGCCCAGATCAGTTATAATTAACTTTCGATACTGAAATATACTTATTTAATATTTAATACTGAAAAATAATTTTAAAAAATATGTTGGCCCTTCATATTTATCAGGAAGGGACTGGGGATAATTGTTGGGTACTTGAGAATAGCATAGGCCCCTACTACTGTATGTATTGGTGAACTGATGATGTGATATGAGTATTGGTAGGGTTAGTACAGCAATAGTCTTGTTCATTGACCTTGGTCATATCATTCAGATGTCCCCATACTGAAGTAGAATAAACTTGACAATTTGGATAACGGGGTAAATTTGTAATGTTTCTGCTGTTTTAATATTTTACCTTTGTAAATCCATATGCAATTCAGCCTTGTGCTGCTATGCATGTTTTGTTATGAATATTGAAGATTGAATAAACATACCTCAAATAATGAAGTGTTATTTGTATTACTCAAACACATACCCACAAAGTATACAAATCACATATCATTACAGCAGCAAATTAAGCCTGTTTGTTTTCATGCTCTTTTTGGATTTTCACATTTTAACTTATGTTATACACTATAAAAAATTTGTATATAACTAAATAGATAAGACTATTTATATATTTAATTATTTATTTATTTAAGCCTTCTTTAACAAGGGGGTCCATTCAGTGACTAGCACTGCTTTCCAAGGAAGTCCTTTTACATGTAGTAAATATAACAAGAAAATTTTTACTACAAACCGTCACCAAAATTGAATCATTTCTTCATTGGTATATAACTAACGCTCCCTGTTATTTCAATTATCTGTGCAGCTGTTTTTGAGATATGTGGCACACAAAAAAATAAACTCCCAGCGGGAGCGTGTGTCTACTGCTTTATACAGGAGTTTTTATTTTTGAATTTAATCTTATGTTCTTCAATATGCAGATGTGTTTATTATTGTAGTGTATCTGAATTTTTCATGAAAATTGTCTTTCATAACAATATTCTGTATACTACTAGGCCTACTCTATTATATTATACTAAAAACAATTTAAAAAAAGAGTAACTCTTGGAGTTACCGCGTTATGTCTTTGATCTCAAAAAGTACTACCATGTTCTAAAGGGCGTCCCCCAAATGACGGTTAAAGGAGTTTGTGGCGAACGTGTGACTGCGTCTCTATAACGCATGTTTGAGTTTGAACGCAATTTTGTTCGAATTCCGAACGCTATTCGATTTTCAATAGAGCGCCCCCACCTAGTGGTAGCAGTACCCATCATTCCTCCACCGAATTTACCCTTTTTTGCCATCTTTACATCATGACATGGTGTCTACGGCCCCCATCGGGGCCGTAGACACAAAAGCCACACAAAAAAACACCAAAACGTTACATATGCACACACACAAACTTACATGACTGAAAACATATATCTGCTAGCTGAGATAGTAACAATAATACTCTAAATGAAATAATGTTTTTATTGGCTATAGACAGTTATCATTCTGAAATTACAACTTACATTTAATGTTTGTAATTGAAACTAATAAACATTAAAATATTAATGTTTTGTTCTTTCTAATTCTGTTTTTTGATGAATGTATGTATTTTATTTCAGTAAAAAAATCTGTAGAAGGCTGAACATTGCAATATGCACTTCTGAAAATCCCAGCAAATCAGTGGACTCATTGCTCATCTCGATGGCTATAGTGTTGCTTTCTTGGTTTACTTCGTGAATACTTACCTGGATAAACTGACTAATTGCCTATTATTTCTCTCACGAGAAACACCCTTCGAAAATAATAGAACAGTTGACTCCTGGCGCCAAGCACAACCGGCCCCGCAACCATGCAACTTCCTCATTCTTTTTGGATAGTCGAAAGTTACACCGTTGATTGTTTCGTGCTCGCTCGTTAATTCTGCTGAATGGTGAGTAAAAAAAACTTGTTCTTATTATGAATTTCATGTCCTTGTAAAATGCTTTGTGGGATAACGTTCGACCTGGTTCAACACTAAGAACAAACATAATAATATCAATATTAAAACACAAAAACCCTAATTAAATTAATTTAAAATAAATTAAATAAGGTTTTAATTTAAAAAAATTATATAATTAACAGAATAATATAATTGGAGAGATCACAATAATATAATTATTTTATTTATGTCATTAAAATGACAGAACAATTAACAAAACTATATAAAGTAATTTTCTAATTAGTATTAAATCCCAAATGACCATTATAATTTTGTAAGAAAAAAATATTCTGATAAAATAATAAGATTGAAATAAAGGTTGAATATATGCCTATTTATTCTATAATAAAATAAACACATTGTAAAAATATTGAGTTAGTAAATTGTATGATTTTAATAATATAAATATTTGTGTAATTCGAAATGATATATTCTAGTTTAATGGAGTTGCTAATTCAGTCCCGTCACAAGACACAACACACATATTGGGTGCTATACAATGTCTCATTATGAGGCTTAGGGTGCATTTTTAAGTAGAAGCTGGGATGCAATTGATTAAGGGTATTTTGACTGATTAAAAATCTGGTGGATCCCAAGCAAAATGTTTTCATAAAGGGCCAGAATAGCTGCTTTTATACAAAAATATCCATTTTTGGGGAAAGAATCTGTATTTTGGTTACTATTAGTCATACGGAGTTCATTTTGGTACCAAACTGTTCGGAAGACTCAAGTTTTTATTAGCTGTAATAGACATTTTGTCCACAAAATAACAGGAAAAAGGTTATTACCAAAAACCGCCATTTTTGTCCAAAAAACCTGTTTTTGAAATAATTTTCTTGTTTTTAGAGCCATTGAATGTTTCCACTTATTCAGTGTTGAAAAAAGCACATTTGAATAAAAGCTCCAATAAGTTATGTATAAATATATAACTAGATTAACTTTAAAGTAGCCGGTTTTGGTAAAATTTGAAAAAGATAAAAATATCCCATTCTTAGGGTAAAACACATACTTTTTACAATTTTTTTATTTTCAGGGCCATTTAATCCTGGCAAATGAGCTAAAAATTATCATAATTAATAAATCACAAACAATTATATATTTTTTAAATTCTTATGCTTATGTGGATAAAAGTATACCTAATTTTACTACAAATAAATTTGGTCTCTTATTACTCAGACTGTTATTTGGGTAAAACATACCCAAAACAACAAGTTTTTTATTTAGAAGAGTTGTTTAGTTTTTGAGATAACTGATCTGCAACGTTTTGCTTTTAATGGTCCATAATCGGCAAAATATCACTTCTCAAACGACTTTTATTTATTTTATCAAGTTGCACACCTTACAATAGACAGAATTAGCGACGAAAGATGACGTCATCACAATTTGGCCGAATGGGTATAAAATTATAAACAGAGCCTAAAAGTCCTATTTTATATAACGTTGCGAGTTTTTGTATGGTCCAGGAAAACAAGCAAAAAAAACCAAAGTACGCGGTTAAGATACTTTTTAAAACATTGATAGGTTAAGGAAGGTTCATAGAACTTGTTGCACAACAATGCGACATGGCTGGATGTTATGATTGAGTGAGACCTGACTATAAACGTTCAGCTCCGTGCTGTCGTCAAGTCTTTTACTTGTTAAAACATCCAGTCTGCCATAGGTATGAATTTAGGAACATTATTCAATAATTTTGAATAACTTAGCTCTCCTTTAAATCTGCGAGTACAACACATTTCATGAGTTTTGCAACAAGCACATTCTTCGACCGACGCCATGATTCACAGACGCTACCAATGTATGTTTTATTCTCATTATATTTCACATTTGGCATACACAATCGTAGAGAAAAGATGACGTTACATTCATAAACATGTAACAATGGTTTCTGTAAATTTTAATCACACTCAACTTTACACACAAAGCGTGTATGAGACGTTTTAGTAAAGGCTATTTTCTTAAATTACTGCATAAATCGCCTATCTTCTTCATGCATTTGTTTTGGTTAGAATGCCCACTATAGCTGAACAGCGTTGATCGCTAATTCGATCCATTCCTGACTATTCTCCTAAATTACTGCATAAATCGCCTATCTTCTTCGTGCATTTGTTTTGGTTGGAATACCCACTATAGCTGAACAGCATTGATCGCTAATTCGATCTATTCTCCTAAATTACTGCGTAAATCGCCTATCTTCTTCGTGCATTTGTTTTGGTTGGAATACCCACTATAGCTGAACAGCATTGATCGCTAATTCGGTCTATTCCTGACATGTTCTGTCTTTACACTCTAGCAAGTTTTACTCTTATAGCTGACAAACAAAATACATGCAATGTACTGGTGTTGAAATGGAAATATTATGCAAATAGAAATGTGGGGATTTGGTTTTTAGCGTCACATGTTTAAATGTAAAGATGAATAAAAAATATTCCCAATAAGTTCTGAAAATAGTGAAGTTACATATAAACGGTGTACACCTATCAATTTCAATAAATTTATCAATTTAGATTTACTGTAATTGCACTAATTTGAATATTCATCATATAGCTAATTCTTTCTGCCTATGGTAATAGGGTAAACTTCTTAGGGTTCTTTAAATGGTCAGCATATCCACAGCCTACTTCGGATCGTGGCCAGAATTTATTAAAACATGACAAGCTATTATGGAAAGCATCATTTTCAACCATTGATCCAATCAAGACATATTTAGGTGTGAGTCCTTATGGCCCTCACATGTACCCCCATATTTGCATCATCACCAGCACTTCACAATTTCTTTCTTTTAACTTGGTTAAACCTTTCACAAATTTTTCAATCATATCATTTGATTATTTTTGAAATATCTGGTCTGGGACGTTTTCCTTTGAGTGGTCCTCATATGCACATCCTATGCCGGTTGGTCACCAAAATTTAATCACCCCATCCTTGAGTTATACCAAACAATCCCTGTACCTGGCATTTAAATCAGTGCAACTGTTTTTTAAATATTTTGTACACAAGAAACACTGAGGACCTCAAAAAATTTTAATGACCCTTTAAGTTTACCACCTAATTTGGATCGTGACCAGCACTTGATAATTTATTCCTTGTAACTTCTTTAAACTTCCGGGAAAGTTTCATTCATGTCAGTTGATTAGTTATCTTGTCTAGGACAAAATCCTTTAAATGATCCTCACATCCACACCCTAAATCCGGACAGTCACCAAAATGTTATCACCTCTTCCTTGGGTCATACCTAACAATCCCTGTAACTGGAATTTACATATGTGCAACTGAAACAGCAAAGTACAGTAGAACCCCGATTTTACGAACCCCGATTTTACGAATGTAAAATCATGTCATTGTTGTCATAAATAAAGTTCCTATTTCATGTACAAAACACACACGCGTGTCAAGAATTAATCGTTAGGTGCGTGCTGGAGTTAATTCACTCGGTCTTAGACGGTTTACTGTACTCTCTTATACACATCT